GCGTCGTCTTAATGGACATGTACTAGTCATGTGGAACATTAGTTAGACTTGGTTTGTATAGTAAATAAGTTTCAAAAAAAGGTGCTTGAATTTGACTATTTGCTTAATGACTGTTCGAACTTCAAACAAATGGATCTTCACCTATACATGACCATCTCCATTTATTTGCACGGTCCTTGGTGGAAAAAAAAGTTTCCAAAGTGAAGTACGCTTTCTAGGTTTTTAGCTTTCATGTGAATGCTCTCCGTATTTAGGTCCCATTTGACATGCATTTTGTTTCTGTTATTTTTTATTTTTGGGCTACTACAATGTCGATTTTGATAACAAAAGCATGTTTGGTGCGGGCTTATTTTATTTTATAAAGTGTTAAAACACTTTGTGAACAGTGGTCCAAAATCAAAACACTAAAAATTTGATTTTTTTTATTTTAATAACTGTTTATGACCCAAATTTTTGACATTTTTATAACCAAATATCGTTTCTTGTTTTTAATTTTTTTCCAAACACTCCTATATCAAAAATATTATTTTTTATTTTAACCGAAAACAAAACGTATACCAAACATTGTTTCTATTTTTTTTAATTTTCCGTTCATGATATGGAACCACGCAGTCAGAGCACTGAGCTTCTCCCAGTACCCTTTCTAGATTTGATAATGGAGAATCACACGGTCAACAAGTACGCGATCAGTCTTTTTTATGTAAGGACACTCTATAAATTTACCATAGTTACCCCTAGTGAATACCTTTCTATGAAGAAATTTACCCTTTTGCATTGATTCATGAAATGAAAGGCACAATAGCTAATTATAGAAAAGAAAAGGGTGAGCATAATTTTTAGTTGGTCCAACTTAGTGTCATTGGGAGCAATAGAAGAGAATGATGATTGGGTAACTGTTCCTTTATATCATAACTTATCCTTTTGGTCTCCAAAAGAGATTACTGCCATCCTCTCAACTTATCCCAAGTGATTTAATTTGGTTGGTTTTGGGCCTTTAGAGAGTGACATGTGACCACACCCCAATTTTATAGAATCAGACAAAGTGTTACAGACAGTACAAGTATGAAAAAGACTGAAAAGCCCACAACAAAACACAGCTTCCCCCACCAATTGTGTGTCTGAATTCGGTACCACACATTTGATGTTGTTTTTAAGAAAGCCTAATAAAGATCTCAATGAACCCCACCAACTCAAGAACACTCTTAACCATACCCACCAAAACCTAACCCTAAGTAGTACTCCGTATTAAAAATGAAGGGGGTCCAGATCTGAGTGAGAGGGTATGAAGAGTCATAAAACTCCAACTGAGCTTGGACCCACCATGTGTTCCAAATTTAAAGGTCATTCCCTTCTCCCGTTCAATCATGACAGAGAGAGAGAGATTATTATCATGGGAATGTAAAAAAGATGTTTATGTTTGAGGGATGCATTGTACGACAAAGGAACCTTTGAAACCTAAGTGGAGCAAAGAAGAGAAATATCACAAGTGAAAACTTTAAAGCTAAAAGGGTAACAAGAGGTGACTTTTCCTCTTCCTTACAACCCACCATTATTATGGTGCCCTTTCTTACCACCCCTGAAATTTCATTAATTACACTTAACCTCCTCATATTGTACATTATTAGATTTTCATCCTAAATTTTATCACTGAAAAGTAAAAGGTCCAAAGTTTAAGTTCCTTTAAGAATAACATAAGTACTGTGTGTGGGTTTTTTGCCGAGGAAAGAAAATAGTTCTACAAGTCATTACAATATAGAATAATTTGAATTGCTAGATAAATATATGACAATTGACAAATGACATTCCAAGGCATTATGCACGAGAGAATTACTTTTAGAAAGAGTATCAAATGATTTTGAGATTATTATTTTTTTTTTCTTAGTTGGTACTCACACACATACCTCCACTGAAACTCAAATCTTGACCTCTTTTTGAGAAGTAGGGACTTAGTACCGCTAGGCCACTAGTTTGTTGATAAATAATTTTTAGATTGAATTTTGTTTTCATTTGAATTAGAAGGGAAAACACTAAATAAAGTATTCATGATACGAGTTGAACATTTGTTATCTAACTCAAAAATTTAAATTATCGGATAATATTATCTATACATCCTTGCAAATCCAAAACTCTATCTTATGCCGATGACATATCACACAAGAAGTTGCGACATATATCTCTAAGCACTTCAAACTGGTCATAGTCCAAACCCTAGGTGGTTAGGTTCCTTACAAGGCAAGCATGCCATGATGAGTGTATGAAGGGATGAGAAACCACCAAATTATGGCGGGTATGAATTAAACTGCAACTCCAGTTCCATTCATTAAATTTTAAAATTATTTTTAGGAAACTAAACCAAATTGTCCCTAAGTTTTTAGCTAACTGAATGACACACCCAAATCAAATCCCGGCATGATTTTCTTATTTAATTACAATTTGAATTGTTTTGCGTTTGACTTCACTTAACTTGGCTAATCTTTTTAGCGTTATCAAACCATATGAAATTATGGACTATTAAAACTATTTAGACTGAACATTTAATTTTTCTTACTTGTATATTTTTATTAAATACTGTGAATGGTACTCAACTTATAATAGTAATGTTTATGGGGGAACAACATATTCAAAATAAAAATGGCTACTTACCGAAAAAATAATAATAATAATAACAATGGCTAAAAGTCATGTTAGAGCTGAACATGGTACAAAAGATATTAAGGTCCTATCCTGATCGAACTCTACTTTGTATGGTACCACATTAGATCAACACCATCAACTTTTAAAAGCGAAAAACGTACATTAACATGGTAAAAGCTAATAATATATATATATATATATATATATATATTGCTCTTAAATTCCTGGAATTTAATGCTCTCCTTTCGGTAGTTTGAACAACTTTGTGCACAAGAGGCCCACTTTTAAAGCAGCTGGGCCTCCGTTGCATAGTGTGCGCACACACAATTCTAATGCATAAAATATTATAGGTAAATATTTTACATAAACTATTTGATATTTCATAATATTATTTACTTTTTTTGTGGTTCTGATTTATGTAACAGTTTTTCCGCCTAACTAACTTATCTTTTTAATATCTGAAATGACAGCAAACATTTCATAGGCAAAAAAAAAAAAAAAAAAAAAAATTGTAGAATTATGAAACATAAATGAGTTTATGTAAATATTGACAAACCTTACGGGAGTTAAAGTGAAATTTATCCTATATAATATATTTTATTTTATTTTTGGGGTGTTAAATAAGAACCTGAGGCATAGTCTTATTTGATGGCCACCATGAACTCTCGTATGATTTGCTCGCTCACAAACCACACATCAGTTAGACGGTTAAATCCAAATATTTTTGTCTCTTATAAGAAAACGTCCTGGGTCCAAGACGTTTGAATTTACTGTTTGTGAAGGACAAAGTTTTTTACTTTTTTTTTTTCTTTCTTTAATAGAGGATAATAATTTTTGTTTAAATATATAATTAGAGAGTGCAACATTATAGTGAGCTCTGTATAAATGTACAATATCATATCGTTTGGATGTGAAAAGAAGGCCCTTTTAGAATAAAAATTCAAAAGAAAAATAGTAGGAACTCGGGCTCAAAGCGGGTGGTTACCCTTGCCGGAATTGTGGATATAAAGTTTTTCTTTTTTTTTTTTATAAAAACAAGAAGTGTCAAATATTGGATTAGTAGATACAAAAGGTTTAAACTCTGACACTTTAAAATTTATAAGAGCCAGTAATTTATTAAACTATTGAGACATACACTAATACAATAATATAATAAGTAGACTGATGTTTAATTAGAGACTAGATGGGCTTTACTCAACCAGTACTATACACTAATGTTGGACAGTCATATAGCCCAAGGCATTATTAAGCGCATAAACCCCTCCCTGGTTGGAGAAAGTTGGATGGATGGGCAAGTGAGAATTTAGAGAGAGAAAGCGAGGAGAGAGAGAGAAAGAGAAGTGACTGATTTGATGGAACAATGATAACATTTGAGCCCCATGAACAAAAATAACATCAGATTACACATACTGGGAAAATGACTTAACCGGTGGCGTGGCAGTGCCCTCTCCAACAAAAAAAATAAAGTCACACAACCTGCACTCTGCTGCACTGCTGTGTGGTACTGCAGCTACCCTAACCCAATCATATTTCATGGGTGACCCAGCTTGGTCCCCTGCCGGTGGCACAATCACTGTTCATACATATGTACAGTCTCCATTTCTGATCCAACCTTTCTTTCAACTGTACCCCAGTACATGCTACTTGGTGGTCCTTCCACGTAGCCAAGAAAATTTGTAGATTGTTATTACCAATAAGTTTTCAAGATTAATGATTAGTTTTCATTCTAATCTTTTCGTTGGGAGGATACCACGTAACCCTAACATCAAAATGTTTTTAAATGTCATATACTACCTCCGCTTCAAATTAGACGTCGCCTTTGATATTTGTGACTCACATTGTTGCTATTATGAACCATTTTACTAGTTTGTGTAATATCTCTCATCTGTGTTTCTTTTCTTAAAAAGAAAAAAATTTATAATGAGAATATTTTTAACCGAAGAATCTGAATTGGACTCTGATCATCAGGTATATTACCACCTAATAATTTCTCTTTTAAAGGACTTTCTATTAATCAAATTACCCTGGTACCAAAAGCTAAGGTAAAAGACCAACTATCTTGAGGGTGCTCTAACCTTTTTTTCCCTACTTGATCAATGGAGAATAAGACTTGAGTTTGAACTCCATCTTTTGCTATTGGATGAGCTTGCCAAGACTAGGCTACCAAAAAGCCAAGTTGTCCATGAACATCTTAATTAAGCACTTCAATTTCATACGCATCTTTTGGTGAAAAGTAATAGGTCCAAACTAATCAAGTGATGCAGACAACTCAACTTAGCGTCTCCATTGATACCCACTAACCAAAAAGAAGCACCATTTTTTCTTAAGTAATGCCACACACCTTGACTTGAAGCACATGCAATGGATTCATTTGAATGGTGTGACTCAACACCCTTTTTGCCTTTCATTCCAAACCAAGATGAGGATCATTGTCCCTCCATTACCCAGACACATCTTGTGATGGAGATGGGGATCCATGAAGAATATAATTACCTTTTTTCTATCACAGATAACCTGTGTACTTCCAATTAACCCCACCCACCACAGACACAACACTTTGAAAGAAAGAAAAGCTCACACTTAAACAAAGGGATCCGCAAGCGATGACGCTACCCCGTTTTTAGTAAAATTGATTAGCACTTTCCAACCCTGGAAGTCTACAGCTTAGATTGCAGGTAGTAATCTACCAAAGAAGACACAGGCCAGGTCTTGTTGCAATCAATCAACACTTGGAACATACAAATGAATCCCCAAAAAAATCAGTTGTTATGTATGTGTATCCACATTTGACACAGACAGATCATGGTGGCGGTGGCGGTGGCCTCATTTGGTAATAGTATTGGGAGGTGTTGGTGACATCCATGGGAGATGAAGCAAAACAGAGATTGAATGCTGTTGGGTTGAGAGGTTTTGACGGATAAATGGCAGCCATGGGTGCTGCAGTGATGGGGGATGAGAATCCTGATGATGCTGCAGTAGAGATCAATGTCACTGGGGTATTGCTGACCATACCATGCATTTGCCCCATCCAGTGTAGGAGCCCTTGTGACGAACCTACTTCAATTCTTTTCTCAGTTGCTCTTTCCTGCCAAACAGTTTTGTAACTTTAGTCAATATGGAGGTCTTCAATACAAAAATTTTTCGAAAAGATAATCATCTTCTTTATTCCGTCTCTCTTTTTGCCGCTCCTTTCATGAAGGGAGGCTTGTTTTGTTCTATAATCAGTTTTATACATATATGGATCTCAACATGTCATATAGGAATATGATTTCACTAAACTAAACCTGTTTTAGTATTCATCTAATATTTTATTTTCAAATTAAGTAGATAATGGATTACTGTTTTGGTGACCATTCTCAGTGTGTATATGATCTATACATGGATTTCAAGAAAACTAATCAATTCATAGTCTGCAAGTGGATTTCTCAGAAGCTATTTTTATGAGAAATTCAACCTGCAAGAACATGGTCCTTTGGCCCGTCAAGCCATGTTGGCTGCGGTAATTACAGTACTGGTACCAAAAGAAAAAGAAAAAAAATGCCCAGCTAGATTTATTAATTTATTTTACAGAGTTTTGAATTCAGAAATAGAAGTTGAAAATTTACCTCGTAGGTGGGAAAGAAATTAGGATATACACCAGTCCTAAAGGGAGGGTGCTCCAATGTCATTTCTAGACCTTTAAGAGGTGGATTACCTGCTGTCGTCATAGCATGGTTTGCCATCTGTAATAGCAGAACATAGAAGAGATAGTTTATCAAAGCATTTTTCAGATTACATGTTTCAAACCATAACAAAAACAAGTAATATATAACAGACTCAGATGCCTGTAAAATGCCAGCATTCTCGATTTTCTTTTCCTACTGATAGGCTAATGAAATCATCAGAGTTATGCAATGAGATTGAAAAACGGAAAATTAACTTGAGGCTATTCAAGAAGAGATTACATTGGCAAATAAACTAAAACACTAAAACTATACAAGATGAATTGTTCAAAAATTACCTTTGATCTCCTCACATCGTGCACATCATAAGGGTGGAACGGAACATACCCCATGCTTTCATTTTGCTTCGCATTATCTCCGAAAGAAGGGGTCGAAATCCCCAACTTAAGATCAAGGTTGTGACTGCCATCTGCATAAAGGGTATTGAGAAACTCATTTGCACACTTCACAAAGAGGAACTCATATGAAGTTCTGTAGACGACAATAACAAAGGAACCTTTTAAAAGATCAAGTATCCAATAATACCTCCATTACTGGCCTCAGAAATCATCTCCCCTTCATATGTTCTTGGCTCAAAGTTGGTAACTGCCTCCCTTCCATTGCATTTGATAGCTGCCTTGTCATAAGCCCTGATTTCCAGAAAATCAAAAGGGAGATATGTGTTGGATGACACCCAATTGAGGTTGAGAATTCAGGGTAATAAATTCAGTATCAGGTAGAGTGTAATTCATGATCATTAGGACCTTGCAGCTTCTACTTCGCTGTCGAATAGCCCAAGATATATATACCTGCACGCAAGCATTATAATCCCCACGCAAGCATTATAATCCCCACGATTAATCAAATAGGCATCTTAGACTTGTTTTCCAAACAACGAAAAGAACTCCCATTGAGAAGCATTATAAACCAATTCTCAGTTCACGGTTCACCAACAGGCAAATAAACTTTCTATACCAAGTAGCTACTTATAAGAATGACACAAGAAGATATTTGAACTTCAAATGCTATAGGTCCTCACTTTTTGCCAAGGAACTGCCCCATTCGAGCTTCCCATCTGCCACATTTGTGCAGTGTCACCCCTCTGTATTTTGAGCTCCCCCTTGAAAAACCGGTGCTCTGCCGACGAAGTATGTGCACAAATTCTTCTTTGGTGAGATTCTTCATCTGCAGAATTATTCCAAAAAAAAAAAAGCCTTATCAAACCCACAACTAATGACAACAGAAGCATAAGCCTCCTTTAAAATTTCAAACGATAATCTGAATATTAATAACATATGCAGTATCAACCTGCTTCATATCCTCCTCATAATCACTCAGATTAAAATTGATATCTGCATCAATCCCCCGGAATTTAATTGCAGCTCGATCATAGGCTCTGATGTGCAGAAAATTTAAATTAACAAGAATGGTGCAGAGCAGCTTAAACATTAAGCTAAAACAATAACAAGATTTCTTAGAAATAAATTAGTTATTACCTAGCCGCAGCATGAGCAGTGTCAAATCCACCTAATACAACCCACACATAATAATTCATCAAAATGATTACCAAATATAGATATATAAGACGAAACTCAACCCTAAATACAAAGTAACAAAAATAATCAAACAGACAAATCATATAGTTAGGTCCATACCCAAATACACTTGTTTCCCACAGTCCCTGCACATAATATACATACAAATATTAAATAGAAGTTCAAGATATGCAGAAAATGAGAAGTACGTCAAATTGAAATTTAACTACACAGTAATCCACTGGAAACTAACCATATATGTGATTCCCATCTTCCAGTTCTTCTGTAGAACGTGACTCCGCGGTACTGCGAGCTTCGAGACCTTGGTCCCCGTCTGCTCTTCTTCACCGGCTGTTGCTGCTGTTGTTGCCGTAGTGGGACCGGCACCTCGTGTAAGCCACCACCAGAAACAGCTTGATTGAACGAGAGATCAACCCAATTAGGCCTCAATGGTGTTGAAGAAGACGCAGAGCTCTGCCCCTGAGTCAATCCACCATCTCCATCCACCGGGAAGAGCTGTCGAGTCACAAACTCGGACTGAGTCATCTGATCCTTGTCACAATTCTCAGTGGTGCTAAACACGCCTCCGACCTTCAAGATGTCGAAATTGAAGGCGAAGACGTCTGCGCTTCCGGCGCGCGTAGAGCACGAGTCGTCGTCGCCGGCATTGCTCGACGCTTCGGCATTCACGATCGACGAATTCGAAGTGCCTGATTCATCCATTTGGCCTCCACCAGAACCTTCAGCAAACTTAGCGGTCATATTCGAGTCCTCGTCATGGACAACGGTGAGATTGAGATCCAACATAACTCTCAATCGCTCAAATTTTAGTCCCTGATGCGTTTGTATATATAGTATATTTAAGTATAATTTCCTTCACGATTGGGCTTCACAAATACTTTCAACTGAGCATTAAAGCACCGTTTAACTAAAAAAATCAACTTACCGAAAGGTGAACACAATCGATCGGATCAGAAACTTTGAGAGTCGAAAACAGCATAACACTCGAGAATCAAGTGATACGGAACTAAAATTTTGAATAGAGAGAGTAAAAAACACTGAAGAACAAAGTATCAGACAAGTTAATAACAGAGAAGGAGAGAATCAGAACTTTCAAGTGCTCTCACTCAATACATGTATTTATATATGTATATATACACCATACGTGTGTGAAATCACCGGAAAATCGCCGGCTACGGGAGAAGATGAAGAGAATATGTGCGGCGAGAGAGAGATAGAGAGGGAAGTCGAAGTGGTCTCTGAAGTTGCATTAGAGATAGAGTTTCATCTGCGAAGTGGAATCAGCACCGATTGTCTGATTCCATTGCAGAGAGGGAGTTTAGAGAGAGAGAAGAGGGGTTTAGAGAGAGAAAGAGGAAAGGAAAGGAAGGGGATGGGACGTGTGAAGGAACATTTCAGGCCTCCTTTAAGGGTAAACATTTTGGTCTGGAAACCGGTTTCTTCGGTTTTTCCGGTCCTTGATATTGATATTGTCAAGATATCTTTCTCAAGGAACAATTGTAGACAATAACAACCGTACGTTCATACTTCATTTATAAAATAAAATTATAAATGAAGTAAGGGATTAGGAGGTTATGCTTATGATTAGCTTTGTTTTAGATTTTCTTCTTTTGAGATCCTAATAGTTAATACGGAGTACTTAATAAACCCAAGACAAAGAAAATATTTGGATTAAAAAATAATTTAGAATAAAATGATCAAGATTTGTTTTAAATGATTGTTAATTAGTTTTGTACTCCGTCGTAAGCAAAGCCAAAAAAAATTTGTTTTCCATCAGTCACTATCATAAAAGGGTTTTTTTTTTTTTTTTTTTTACTGAATTTTTTTTTCTGTAAAATAAACAATTTTGGAGTTACTGTGGTTGTCCTCGTCTTTCCTTTGTTTTTATTTTTATTTTTTTCTCTCTTTGTTTTTTTTTCTTTTGCTTTCTTGATGTTTGTTTTGAAAATGGATTGAATATGCGAGTGATTGTTAGTGTGCTGAGTCTACCAAGCATGAAATATTGTTTAAATTAAATTTAAAAATGATTGATCATGTCATGAATTACAATGATTCATGTACATGTAATATAATTTTGTTATTTTAAATTAAGAGTAATGTTTTTCGAAGGAATTTATTAATTACGAGAGTAGTCACGAGTTCTGAATATTTAATGAATGATGATAATTTTTTTAGAGATTTGTAAAATTTCAAATCATCTATTACAATTTTCAATTAATTAGTTAAAATGAAAATTTGCCCCTTAAGGATGGCAATTTGTCCTGTAGGGACGAATACCTGTTCCACCCCCATCCCATTTATAATGATTTTGGGAATCGTTTAGCTTATTTTTGTGGGGATGATTTTTATTAATGAAAACCTGCATGCGTTAATTTTGGGGCAGGGGTAGGTCGTCTCGCCTCGGCCCATCTAAGTAGATAAATTACTAAATTACTCTTATTTTATTCATAAATATAATTAACTCTATAAACCTTATATCACATGTATTCACTCACTTTTTTTACCGTTGAATGGTAAAGTCCTACGAACTAAAAACTCTCATATCTTTTAATTTTATGTTAAATTTATTGATTGTCTATTTTTTTATGAATTTTTTCAATAGTTATACAATTGTATTTGAGGAAAAAAAATTACAAAATTAGAAGAAAATCCGTAACTAAACGGAGCAGAGCGAATACCCGCGGTAGAAAAAAAGTTAAATGGGGCGGAAATGGTGCAAAGACCCCGTTTAGGGGGTGATGAGATGGAAGTTTCTAAATACTTACAGGACAACAGAGTGCTCACTCGTCCAAAACCGCCCCTTTGCCATCCTAGTATCTCTAAGTGGTTTACTCTTATTAAATTAATATATTATTGAAATTCTGTGGCTTGATCATTAAAGTAATGTATACTTGAAATATGCATGTATATATATTTTAGGAAGGTAGCGCACTCTATTTTTAATCTGAAATGACAGTATTGCTCTAGGTTCAATTTATGAGAATAAAGTGTAGGGTATTTATGTTATTCAGATTTAAAAAATAAATAAATACATTAATAAGAAAGTGAAGTATATAAGTTAATATATACTATTAGATATGTATCACCCACTTTTTCAAGGTGACAGTTCAAGTTTATTTTTCAAGAAAAAGAAAACTAATACTGTTTGGCTTTGTTCAACCTAGGACTTGATTAACCCAAACAAGGTATTTATAAATAAATAAAAGGCTTTTTCAATGGTTGATAACTTTATAGTATTACTGTCACACACTAGCCAGGACTTAGGAGGAGTCTAGGATTAACTAAAGTTTAAAGAATCAAAAGGGAAACAGACTAATTTGGCAGTCATTTTGAATTTTTGACTGCATTGACAGTCCCTCCAGTCTCCACTGACAAAGCATTGGCGGTCGTTCTTTACTGCTGTGATTGCATTAAAATAAAATAGAATATTGCAAATAGTCAAATAAATGAGTATGAATTACAGTACCTTTCAAAAAAAAAAAAAAATACATTAAATTAAAGAGAAATAGTAAGAGTTGATTACTGTGGAGTGTGGATACAATTTTGAAAAAGTTTGCAAAATACTAGAAGTTTTATAGTGGCATATATAGAAATAGTAATAAAGAGATGTTGAGGGAAAATAATTTTAGACCAACTTAATATTAAATATTATTTCTTGTTGCATTTTTTTAGTGTCCAAATCTCTTGATTCGTATTACAGACTTGTTTTTGTATAATTTCTGTATTTATTTTTTTGATTTTAATTGTATCTACACCCTCTTTCGGTGAGAGGTTTGGATTAAATCAGCAGAGCGTAGGATATTTTGCTCGTGATACGCAATGCCCGGTCAAGGTAGAGGAAAAAAAAAAACCTTAAATATTTGAAAATCAACACAACTAATCTTTGTATTCGCATTAAAAAGGTTAGTGCCACGTCTAATCGATGATGGTAAGTACAAAACCATTTTGAACGACAGCTTTGGTAGACGAAGATGTTGATTTTAGCATTGAGGAGGTATGGATCCAAATTAAAAATGGACCATTTGTTGAGGGGGACCATTAGATTGTGAGGACAATGTCTATTTGGATTTTGGATTTAATATCATGAATGTGATATCTAAGGTTGGGGTTAACACAGTCCCATTCTACCTACTATCTTTAGTGCCATCCTATAATTCATTGTCAATTACATGTTTGTCTTAATACAAATTTAGGAGACTTTGGAGTACATCTTGTTAAAATGCAATTACTTTGATGTGTGTGTGTGTATGTGTGTGTATATATATGTCATAAATAAGAAATTATAATTATCTAGTTGCATGATTATTGTAATTTGAGTGTCGTTATCATGTTCCAAACATGCTGTAACTTTTATTATTATTCTCTGTGATTTAAATTTTATGATTTTTACGCTTTCTCTCCCTCTAACTTAATTGTGTTTATTTATCTACTATTGATAGTTTTAGTTCCTTTCATAAAGGATAATGTTACAAGTATGACTTATCCCTCATCAGATTTCGATGGGAATTGAAATGTGTATAAATGAGCGTATGCAATACTATTTAATAGTTTAAATTTTTTAATAAATAAATAAGCACTCACCTTTAGAGATAGATACTACGCTTTAATAGTTCTATGACGAGTTTGAACCAAGGTCTAATCCAAATTCTTTGTAATAAAGACTAAATTTAGGATGGATATTTTTTTTATTGCATAAACAAGCGAAAATTCAACTAATGGACATTACCATGGTGGAACGTTGTTTATTGTTTATTTATTTATTTTTTTTTTGTCTTTTTTTCGAACTATAGTTTATGGTGAGAAAACGGTCCCTCGAAGATTTTAAAGTTTTCATCTATTTTAATTTTAAACCCATGATGTGGTCTTTTCCTTGTGACCCTTTTTTTTTTTTTTTTTATCACGTAATTAATATAAATGTAGAAATATGAGTCAAAACCCTTTTCTTCTTAATTTTCAAATATATTTATATATTAATATATATAAGAAAAAGGAAAGTTACACTTTGTGGTGGATGCATCCCATTCATGTCCTCAATAGGGTTTGGTGCGCATTTGCATCACCATAGGTCAAGATGAGATGGGAATTGCATGCTTTTCACTAGTAGATAAAAAAAGGGAAAATAAATAAAGAATAAATAAAAAAAAGGAAATAAAAAGGGCACCACGATGAAATGGGCATAAGACGCTTAAACTTGTAATGTGCACCTACATATTTTACAATACCATACTATAGATTTTATTTTATATAATTCTGCCTTTTTGTGAATTCAGATACTTAACCGGTAATGATATTTGTACTTCATTTTTGGCGAGTAACACTTATTTTGAAGCTCTTATTAAAATGAATAACAAAATTATCTTCTAAAAATGAAATGTAAGTATTTTTTATTGTAATGCATATTTTTATTTATAAAATCCCCCATTCACGAAGAAAAAAATAAAAAAAGTATTTTTTATTTTTTTATGTAATATTGTGAGGTAGATGAGAATATCATTTTAAGGTAATTGTTATTTTCTATTAAAATTTATTTACATATAGAATATGTGAGAGATGCGAATTTTATTCTAACTTTTTACGGATGTATCATATGGAAATTGAACCGGGCGAAAATGTTTTGCCAAATGGTCCACGACTTTTTACCGATGTGTTACAAAGTAATTGAACTTGACGAGAATGATTTGCCAAATAGTCCAAGATGAAAGAAAGATGGTATGTATAACTACAGTTATATTCTTTTTAATAAGAAACATAAGAAATAATGGACAATGAGATGCCAGTGTAGTATATAATTATGATGTATATAATTGTATATGCATTTTCCTATATGTGCGATACACAAAAGAACACACACACTTAACATGCATGCACTAATTTTGAGGGTCCGAAATTCGTTGTTTCCTCGGCGATACTACACAACGAACATCACGTGCTTTCTTCTCTTTCTGGCTGCTAGTTACGATTCTCTCTCTCTAAATATATATATATATATATATATACATATACACATACACTCTACTTTCTCTCTCTCTACAATTACAAAGTGTAGCATCCTTCTGTTTACGGAACTTACTGTACCATCAATATGCCAAATGCCAGCATATATACCAGAAAGGGTGGAGCACAAGGTGTACGTCTCAACGATACATATCTATATATATATATAGGTGTACGTCTCAACCATACATACATATATATATATATATATATCTTGTTTCGGTATTTGATTTGATCGACGGTACATTATGACATGCAATTTATGGGAACAACATTTCATTTTCTTGGTAAAGTGTTGTAACAATTAATTAAGTTCTTGGAATTGTCAAACAATGTTGAATTGAAAGGTAAGTACTACTTTTAACAATTCAAATGTTTGTTTCGTGTGACACTGGTAGA